TTAATCTCCTTGTCATTAAGAACACAATGAAAGCTTCAACATGGTGCGTTTATGATTTCATGTGATATTTTAGTAGAAGGGCTTTCTTCTTATTGTTTTGGGCAGCAGTGTCATATACTTCCTTTTCTTTACAGGAGTCCTGGAAAAATTTTAAGCATTACTATCCCAACCTTTGAAGCCCTTACTCAGTTTGGGACTGCTACAATCACAACTAAAAATATTGGTGAAGTGGAAGCATCTTATAGCCTAACGGTGAGTTGATAATTCAATAATCTTTTCTTGACATATCACATTGCAGTTGCAGTGTTTTCTGTGCTGATCCATATGTCATGTTATTCTACTATATGTCAATTATTAGCTTGACAACAAAAATTTGGGGATAATTGAATATTCGTGCATTTTTCTTCTTGCTTGAGAAGGGATTGATATAGATACTTTGCTTATGAGTTGGGCCCAATACTTTATTTGATTGCCAGTAAAATTTTGGCGAATATTACTAATTGGAGTCTAAAAAAATGAACGTAAATTTGGATGAAACTTTTGCAATCTTGCTCTTTCAGCCACTGTTNATTAATATTCGCCAGTAAAATTTTGGCGAATATTACTAATTGGAGTCTAAAAAAATGAACGTAAATTNCCCAATACTTTATTTGATTGCCAGTAAAATTTTGGCGAATATTACTAATTGGAGTCTAAAAAAATGAACGTAAATTTGGATGAAACTTTTGCAATCTTGCTCTTTCAGCCACTGTTTTTCTCTTTAATTTGTCTGTGATCAAATTCTTTGTGTTGCAGTTTGATTGCTCAACTGGCATCAGCCAAATGGAGGTATTTTACTAATACATTTTCTCTTCTGTCGCCCCCACAAAAAGCAAAAAAATATTACTATGCATCTGATGTATGAGTTGGCCAATATCTGTGTTGTGATAATCTTCCAAGGGATAACAGTTTTGAATGTTTACTCTCCCATAGGAACAATTTTATATAATGAAGGCCGGAGAAATTACAACTCGATCATTCAAATTGTACCCAACCACCGATCAAGCTGCAAAATATGTGTGTGTAGGTATGTTTGAGTATTAGACTTGTGCGGCTCTTCAGTTTTTTGCGAAGATAAATAATTTTAATTCTAACTACCAAATCTCAGGCCATATAAGCATGTTTGGTTGCAGCTATACTTAAGGACTCTGATTTTAATGAAGTTGATAAAGCTGAGTGCCAATTCACTACTACAGCCACTGTTCTTGATAATGGATCACAGGTTCCACAGTGCTTTTAGATTTAATTGTTGTCCGGCCCATTGGCATTTCCTAAAGTCACAGGTCATATGCAAAAATTTGGCTTCTGCTGACCTATTAAATGAACAGTAGATGTAGCTACTTCATATAATTAGATTTTGTCATATGACTATAACACCTACAATGGAGTCATATGCAGCAGGAAGCATTCAGAGGATAATTTACCCTTTGCCATTCTATTTTTCCCTCTTAAAGTTGTTGACTTTGTAGCATAGTTAAGAGATTTGGCCAGGGAAATAACTCAGAAAAAAGGGTCCAGATCAATTGGTCACTTACCCAACCCTGGGGTCAACTGATCAAAGCAGGAGAACATTCAAATATGTTACCAAAGTTATTATCCTAACAAATGTTAAAATCTAAGAATAATGATAGTATCATTTTAGTTATAGTCGTTATTATTAATACTGATTGTAGAATGTAGTTCTAAAAAGGTGTTTTTGCATGCGCATATATGAAATATTGAAATGTTTAGTCTCGTAAATATATACTCAAGGTCTTTTTTTTGTTGGTCAAGTGTGATTTACTTTATGTATTAGAACACATGGTTACTCTTTGTAGATGACATTAGGTATGAAACACCACTTTAACGCTCGTCTATTATGTACTAATGTGCTAAAAAAGTTTAGGTTAAGGAAGATCGTGGTTGGGATCTCGATTACAACCTTTAAGTCTTTGGTTTGACTCTCACGATCCAAATATTTGCAATGTCTTTTTTTCTGAAGTAAAACTTGTTTGGATTTCCAAAACCTGCCCTGAATGGAACAACTTGATCTGAACCTGATGCGATGGGGTTATGTGGGTTATATTCTTAGCTGGTTAGAGTTGTGAAATATATTTTATGTTGTTAGCAGTCCTTACCATGGAAAACAATCACGGAGAGAAGAACTTATAAATTATTAGAACAAAACAATGCAAGAGAATTTTTACCGGACAATGAACTACTGGATTTTGACCTGTGAACAGAAATTATACATGATACGACCACAAATCGAGATATGTTTACAATGATAACAAAAAAAAAAAAATTAAATATGTAAACTTATTTTATGTGGTTTGGCTATAGTCACCCACTGGTATGACTAACTAGCTGTTTCAAAGGATGCATTTGGCACAACTTCTTAAAGTAAAGAAACACTGGATGTTAGGTGATCGTATGTTTTGGATGTACTTTTGAATGAAGCAATACATTCCATCTGTGTATGAAAGTATGTTTGGTGGAAACATCTTAAAAGTGCAGAAAGTGATGATAATGTATTGCTTGCAACTATGACGGTTTGGTGTACATTGTTAATCAAATCACAAAAAATCACTGTATTGTTTTTCCAGATACCTTTTCAACCTCCAAAGACCAGTATAAATGGTTTCTTTGAATCTATTGAGGACTTGTGGAACAAACTGTGGGATGGTTTGGCAGACTTCATCACGGGAAAAACTTGCAGGTATTTTTTTTCAGCCAGGTACATGCATCTAAGATACTTGGAAATTGAAACATACTTTGGAATTTGGGTATTCACGGATTTGTGTTCATAGTTCAAGTACACTACGTCGACATCTATTTGCATTCTCACTTAGCTTGGATAATTTTTTTTCTCATTCGAATACATAAATTTGGAGTTTTAATTTGTCTGTCTGTCTGTCAGATACACTGTTTTTATTCTTTGCTGATGTCACATGAGTGTAGTAATTCTGGCTTTGCATCTAAAAGATGTGTTCTCATGATTCTTTTGATGAGCAGAATGAAATGCTCTGGTTTCTTCGACTTCAGTTGCCACATACAGTATATCTGTATGAGTTGGATAGTGATATTTGGTCTACTTTTGGCAATTTTTCCCACAGGTGGTTGCTCTTTTCTTTGGAAAATTATGTATAAGGTTGATGTCTGCATTTTATAGCAAGTGAAAATTTGATAATGTTCTGTACTTTCTGAGTTGCAGTGCTTGTGCTACTCTGGCTTCTACATCAGAATGGAGTATTTGATCCTCTTTATGACTGGTGGGAAGATCATTACTGGACTGATGAACATAGAAGTGGATATATCTGGAAGTATGGAATTGATGATGAGGTTCCACAAGTCCATTTTAAAAAACATCATAAGCAGGAAGTAAGGCATCATAAGCATGATGCTCAGAAAAAGCGAAGAAGTATCCACAACGAGCACAGGCACAAATATTCAATACAGGACACTGATTATCATTATTACCTTCACCATGTTCACAAGGACAAGAACAAACATGGAAGAACCAAGAGTCCAGGCATCATAAAGCAAGTTTACTTGAATGAAGGAGAGGATGATAATGTTGGGCATCGCAGACGCATAAAAGAAAAAGATACCATTGAAGAAATTTCCAAATTTGCTATGCATGGTGATGTAAACAGAAAGGAACATCATAAGCGTAGACATGCACCATTAGATGACCCACACTTTAAGTTGCACTCTAAGCGGCGAGAATAGGAGGAATTGGATCGGTGAAAATTCTTTTTATCATATATCAAGCATCTTCCTTTTTTGGAATATTTTGTTGAAATTTCTCCTACTTCCATTTTTCACTTGTTTTGTTGTTGGTGGGATTGGGGAACCAAGAACTTGAAAAATCTTTTCATATATTTGATTTCGTCACATGGAGATTCAGTGAGGTAAAAGGGGTGATAATGGAACTTGTTACTACTAGTTCTTACACTGATACATGTTATGTAGTGAATTTGTGCATAACCTTTTCCATTTCATTTTCCCTTTTTTTTCCAGCTTGTGACATTTTTGCATTGAGGCAAAAACAAAAGCAAAAGCACAAAACTTTTCATTCGGTTCTGAGAAAAATGTTCCTCGGCTTGGTCTTCCTTTTCAGTGAGATCGTAAGGAGCTTCACCCCTCCCACCCCCCTCTTTTAACACACTGAAGCAGTTGTTGACCGTCATCCTCTTGTAGCTTCAGAACATCAATCCTGTTTGGTAGCATTTACGTTGAAATTTCTTGGTCTCATGCATCTAGCAATACAAATGACTTGCCTGTACATCACGGGGGATCGTAAAATAGAACGTTGGTTCCTTCCTCTATTTGTCTCTCACAGAGATCTGAGCATGAAAACCTTTTGGAAATTGTAAACCGGGTGTTCGGACAATATCTCCTCCTTTGATGGTGCAGCACCTGAGAATTTCCGACGTAAAACAGGTTAGCCACTCTCTTCTTTTCTCATGCATGTTTGCTTATAGACACAATATGTGATGTTCTTACTCGAATTTTGTTACCAAGTGGTGGATGAATACGGCCATTTGCACCTTAGTGAACTCTGTTCCAACACAAAATCTCATGCCACCTCCAAAAGCCATGAAATGTTTAGTTGCACCATTTAGTTCCACTCCCTGTATGCCATCAGTTGTTGCACAATTTGAGAATTCAGAAGAAAGATAAGGTGAATTGGTCTAATCCTAGTCCAGTTTCTCACCAGAAGTAAACTGCTTGAATGTGAAAAAAAAATTAAATTCAATAAATAGAAGAAAATTCTAAAATTTTTAACTTACATCCCATCTCCATGGATTGAATTCAAGGGGTTCTTTATATTTGGCAGGGTTCAAGTGCACGGCTGGAGGACAAACCATAATTGCCCATCCAGATGGAATGGTGTAGCCTACATAATGAAATTTTGTTGGCCAGTTAAGTATACCTTCAGATGATAAAAACATACAGTTTCTGTAGCAGGAAATCGACTATTTAATCTTTAATATACCTTTAAACTTGATCTCTCTGAGTGTCTTTCTGAAAATTCCAGGAACTATGTTTGCTAGTCGGACAGTTTCATTGATAAACTGCAATTTTAATTGATCTTTTAGCACAGTAGAGCTACTCAAGCCATTGGTTTCGAAATCTTTTCTAGCTTTGTAAAAGAGAAAGTGACATTGATTGAATACCTGAATTGTGAAAGTCATTGATTTGTATTCCTTCCAAGTGATTCCAGAATCCAAGTTTTCCCGTCTTCTAAGAATTGCCTCATGTTCTTGCTGTGGAGAATATTAGTGCGTGTCAATGGGAGAAATAAATTGAAAGGATATTGATAGGTTGTTCTAATCTTAATAGATATCATCACTTACCCTTAATTCCTTCAACACCAAAGGATGTTCCACAAGAAATTTAATGGCTAAAGTCAGAGCCAGTGAAGTTGTCTCAAAGCTGGCAAATAGCAACACAAACATCAAATCCAGAGCAATTGCTTCTGTGAGGATTGTATCCTCTTTCTGAAGTTCTTCAAGGACATGATCAAAGAAGTCACTTCGGTGCTTCCTTGGCTTCAATCGCCTTTCCTGTAGCATGTTCTTCAGCATCTTCATTGCCTTTTGTCTTCCCTGCATACACTTGTGATATGCGGTGCCCGGAATGTCCAAAGGGAAGGAGATTAATCCTTGCATGAAAGCCACAAAATTCTCCCTCAGATTCTCTGAGGACTTCTCAGGATCATAACTGATCAGTTTCTTTGCAGTCAGATCAAAAATCATCTGTAAACTTCAGAATATTATTAGTTCATCTGAAACATTAGAGTTTTGGGAAATTCTAATGAGAAGAAGAAATAGTTAGCCTGAACTCACTCTTGCAGTTGCATCCTTCAAATCAACTGAGTCCTGATCTGACCACATTTTCAAGTTTCTACTTGCTGTCTCTTCAACTTCAGGAATCATCTTTTTAAGGCTTTCAGGACCAAATAGATCGAGCACCATGCTTTTGAGGTATTTGTACAAGAACCCATGCAAAGAACCTACATTTTGTCGCCCAAAGATCTCTGTGAAGGTGTCCGGGTACCAGCTCTGGAACAAGTGTCCCTCTTGTTGGAAGATGAAATAATTAAGATCTGAGTCTGTTGATACTATGACTGGACGACCCACCAAACTTGTTCTGAATATGGGCCCATACCTGGAAGGTGATAGTCAAAGGTATTATAAAATGCAGAACATGAAGACGATGATGATGGTAGTGATGGTGATTGAACTACTAGAACAGCTAATTTGATAAGTTATAATAATAGCATTACCTTTCCATTCTCTCTTTGACGAATGGAGGAATATCAGATGACATGTTGGGGGCGAAGAACTGAAGACTTTCTCCAAGAAGTGGCCATCCCATTGAACCCGGTGGGAGTTTTCCACTGCACCTTGGATTCCTCCATCTGAAAACCCAATGTGTAATGCTTATAAAGACCAAAACTCCAATGCACAAAGCCAGTGGCCACATCTTACTTTTGAATATGTGAAAAAGAAGGGTAGAGACTATCTAGAAGAGAGGATTGTAATGCTGATAATGGCTGGAGTTTTGTGCACTAAACTGCCTTTTATGTGGATTTTCTGAGAAGGGCCTGTAGGTTGATATCAGAAGAAATGGAAGAGTTTAGGCAGGAAATGTGGGAAGAGATGAGAGAGTTAAGGTAGGAAATGTGGGAAGAGGAGACAGAGAAGAGAGGGGAGTGCTGGCATGTGTCTCCATATTCATGAGGACTAGTTAAATAGGGAGGCAGAACTCACAGATAGTTAGAATGATACTAATATTAAATTGGGTTCCTTTTGTTTTTGGGAGTTGATTGCTCAAAGCTGTACAAAGCAGTTGGAGATAAGAAAAGAATAGGTAGAATAATTTTGTGTCTAGAGACCACCCACTATTAATATATTCCTTGTCAACGGAATCTATAAATATTTGTGTAAAAGCCTAATATGACAATGAAGCTTCCTGGATATTCTCTCTCTCTGCCTGGTTCATAGTTGAAGAGTCATGAAACACGAAACCGAGGGAGCACGAGGCAGGTTTATGGCATTTTTTAAGGAGGTGTTTAGCAGACACAGGTGGTCTCTTCCCTAGATTTGAGAGGATAGAGGTTCAAAGGATCTGTGTGACTGAACTAAGTATGAAACCAATCTTCAATGGATCATTAAATAGTAGAATCTAATGGGTTTCACCAACTTTATATATCATTCCTGTATCTTTGCTATATACTTTTGGTATCTATGTAATGTTGATGTTATGAGAGATGCCACACATGTTCTTGTTCTCTTTCTCTCTCTCCTCATTGTTTTTTAAGGATTAGATCTCACCCAAGATCTTCTTTAGCTGTAACCACAATCTCATGTCATATTCTCAATCTTAATAACATCAGCAGTGATTTCAAAGTGGAGTTTGTAGATATGCAGGCAACTACTGTATCTGCATTTTCTGCTTAAATTACTTGGTTTTGTTATCTTCTTATAATGTGTGTTTGCTTGCTTATCAAAGCAACCCTAGTTTAGTAGATTGAGTACTCCTTTCAAGTTTCAACACATTGAGCACCACCCCCTCCGGCCCTTTGAGCCACGGGCTTAATACCATTCAACTACTACCATGTAGGTAGGTCACTGTGTATCATAACCCACAATTATGTGCTTTTTTGCTTGTCTCTGTTTGATAGTTCTATTTGCCAAAGCAAGATTGGAGAAACTTTAAGGTATAGATCTGAAATAATGCAATTTAGACACTGTTATGGTCTAAGGAAAGAAAGGGGTAAGAACATGAGCACAGGTTCCAAAAAAAATTGAGTTGTGGAACCTCATTTAAAGTAATACTCTGCTATAGCTTGGCTTTTAAGGTTATTGTCTTGTTGAGTGATCAAATTTTGGACACGTAATCATCAGAAATTTGCTCCTTTTTAATATTATTATTGGTGGTGCTGAGTTCCCTAACTCTCCTCATTTTGCATTTAAGTAATGTTATGAATTGGTAATAATGTAGACTTTGCCCGAATTGTTCTTCAATTTTTTATCATAAATTGTTCTTCAATTTTTTATTATAAATTAATACACGTGAGTTGAAAGTGTTTGGAACATAAGCTTATATGTAAATTCACACATTGTTGGCGCATCATGTCATTTGTACATAATATGATTACTATATATCTAATTGAGAAGACTCTATTTTCGATACACAAAACAGTGTCAAATTAATTATAGATAAAGATTTGTAGTGATAGACATATTTTATTCAAAGTATTTTTATTTCACGTTTTTCAATTTATAACAAAAAATTGAACGACAGTCTAAATTAAGTTTACATTAATAGTAATTCATAGTATTGAGGGTGCAAAGTAAGAATCAAAACGTGTTTAAGTTTTTAATTTAAAGGGCTTTTTTTATCATATAAGAATTCAAGTTGTTAAATTAAAATAAATGTATGGCTTGATAGAATGACACGGATTGCTTAACTGCTTGGCCTGGCCTTTAAAAGGTCTCCTTAATGGGGGTGCAGAGCAATGACAGCTAAAACTATTATTCTACAATTTATAATAAACAATTCAGTGAGAAGAGTTCGGATCTAGAACTATTACTTATGTTTATAGTTTATATACGTCACGATTTTGAAACCCAAAATTCACTTTTTTTTTTAAATTGGAATAAAATTGTCTATTACTTATGCATAAGGTGTTAATCGAGATGAGTTATTCGGATCCGATTTGGATAAGACTCGATTAAAGTTCTCGATTTCTATGAGTTTGAACTTTTAAAATTAAACTCGTTTATATATAAAATAATTGAGTTATTCGAACTTGAATCGAGTTTAGGAGAGACTTGGGCTCATGTTAGTGGCGCATATTTAGGACCATGTTAGTGTTAAAAACCAAATGCTCTCTAAAAAACTAAGTGATACTGACTGTATATGCTGGCCTTAAGTTTTAGAACAACTGGATCCACCACAGATGATAGGTTTAGATGGTGAGTCCTTTTCTCCTTCAAGGTAGGTTAAAGAAAATTCAACTGACCTTGAACATGTCTAATCACCAACTCTAACAATAACTAATTTATTCTAGGATGAGAAGATTGGGGATAAAGTCATTTTGCTCCTGAATTTGGTTCTCTTTCAATAGCACATACTATTCAATTATTTTTAATAATACATTTTTCATAAATTCAACTAAATTTNCGGATCTAGAACTATTACTTATGTTTATACGCCTAGCAATACGTCACGATATTGAAACCCAAAATTCACTTTTTTTAAAAAAAATTGGAATATAATTGTCTATCACTTGTGCATAAGGTGTTAATCGAGATGAGTTATTCGGATCCGATTCGAGTAAGACTCGACTAAAATTCTCGAATTCTATGAGTTTGAACTTTTAAAACTAAAATCGTTTATATATAAAATAATTGAATTGTTCGGACTTAAATCGAGTTCAGAACAAGCTTGGACTTAAATCGAGTTCAGAACAAGCTTGGCTTCACGTGAGTGGAGCATATTTAGGACCAGGTTAGTGTTAAAAACCAAATGCTCTTTAAAAAACTAAGTGATACTGACTGTATATGCTGGCCTTGAGTTTTAGAACAACTGGATCCACCACAGATGATAGGTTTAGATGGTGAGTCCTTTTCTCCTTCAAGGTAGGTTAAAGAAGATTCAACTGACCTTGAACATGTCTAATCACCAACTCTAACAATAACTAATTTATTCTAGGATGAGAAGATTGGGGATAAAGTCATTTTGCTCCTGAATTTGGTTCTCTTTCAATAGCACATACTATTCAATTATTTTTAATAATACATTTTTCATAAATTCAACTAAATTTTACGGTATATAAGTGGTTCCCTCTCAATTCTCAATAAGTTTCATGTAGAATTATAGTTGCTAATCAAGTTAAGATTTACGAGTTCAAGTCGAACTTGCCGAACTGATTTCAAAAAGATTCGAGCCAAACTGAATAGTTCGACTATGCAAAACTCGGCTTTTTAAACTTATTTTTTTAAATAACCTTAAGAAATTATTTAAACTCAACTCGTTAACTGAACTCAAAACTAACTGAATATGAGTTAAGCCCAAATATCTTAAATTGATTATCAGTCCTGTGTAGAACTCANATATTATTATTGGTGGTGCTGAGTTCCCTAACTCTCCTCATTTTGCATTTAAGTAATGTTATGAATTGGTAATAATGTAGACTTTGCCCGAATTGTTCTTCAATTTTTTATCATAAATTGTTCTTCAATTTTTTATTATAAATTAATACACGTGAGTTGAAAGTGTTTGGAACATAAGCTTATATGTAAATTCACACATTGTTGGCGCATCATGTCATTTGTACATAATATGATTACTATATATCTAATTGAGAAGACTCTATTTTCGATACACAAAACAGTGTCAAATTAATTATAGATAAAGATTTGTAGTGATAGACATATTTTATTCAAAGTATTTTTATTTCACGTTTTTCAATTTATAACAAAAAATTGAACGACAGTCTAAATTAAGTTTACATTAATAGTAATTCATAGTATTGAGGGTGCAAAGTAAGAATCAAAACGTGTTTAAGTTTTTAATTTAAAGGGCTTTTTTTATCATATAAGAATTCAAGTTGTTAAATTAAAATAAATGTATGGCTTGATAGAATGACACGGATTGCTTAACTGCTTGGCCTGGCCTTTAAAAGGTCTCCTTAATGGGGGTGCAGAGCAATGACAGCTAAAACTATTATTCTACAATTTATAATAAACAATTCAGTGAGAAGAGTTCGGATCTAGAACTATTACTTATGTTTATAGTTTATATACGTCACGATTTTGAAACCCAAAATTCACTTTTTTTTTTAAATTGGAATAAAATTGTCTATTACTTATGCATAAGGTGTTAATCGAGATGAGTTATTCGGATCCGATTTGGATAAGACTCGATTAAAGTTCTCGATTTCTATGAGTTTGAACTTTTAAAATTAAACTCGTTTATATATAAAATAATTGAGTTATTCGAACTTGAATCGAGTTTAGGAGAGACTTGGGCTCATGTTAGTGGCGCATATTTAGGACCATGTTAGTGTTAAAAACCAAATGCTCTCTAAAAAACTAAGTGATACTGACTGTATATGCTGGCCTTAAGTTTTAGAACAACTGGATCCACCACAGATGATAGGTTTAGATGGTGAGTCCTTTTCTCCTTCAAGGTAGGTTAAAGAAAATTCAACTGACCTTGAACATGTCTAATCACCAACTCTAACAATAACTAATTTATTCTAGGATGAGAAGATTGGGGATAAAGTCATTTTGCTCCTGAATTTGGTTCTCTTTCAATAGCACATACTATTCAATTATTTTTAATAATACATTTTTCATAAATTCAACTAAATTATACGGTATATAAGTGATTCCCTCTCAATTCTCAATAAGTTTCATGTAGAATTAGAGTTGTTAATCAAGTTAAGATTTACGAGTTCAAGTCGAACTTGCCGAACTGATTTCAAAAGGAGTCGAGCCAAACTGAATAGTTCGACTATACAAAACTCGGCTTTTTAAACTTATTTTTTTAAATAACCTTAAGAAATTATTTAAACTCAACTCGTTAACTGAACTCAAAACTAATTGAATATGAGTTAAGCCCAAATATCTTAAATTGATTA